ACCCTAAGAAGTTCATGAAATTTTCTTCAATTTTAAATGAAATTTTTCACTCTTAAACACTAATTCACACTTAATTAAGCCATAATCAAACTATACAACATCAATTAAATCAAAAAAAAAAAATCAAAAATCCCTAATTCTCTAATTTGGGTTGAAAGTTCACCTCTCCTAATTAACCCTATAAATTTTTTATTTCTAAACCTCAAATTTAAGTTCAATTAACATGTTTCAGCCTTAATTAAATGAATTACTAGGTTAATTTTATTTCCCTTAATTTTTCTAGTCCAAGAACCATAACCCTAATTTTCAAAATTAAAACCAAAAATCACAAATTAAAGCATTCAAATCACAAATTGACATCAATTAAACGTGGCTTGTGATGTGGGTGAAATTAACTTACTCAATTATGCTCTAATTTAAACTTGGAAGGTTGGATAATTTGAGAAATTTCTCCCTCCCCCACTTTCTTCACCAATTCGGCCTAAGCCCAATTTTTCCCTCTTGATAAATTTTAATCTTCTAGCTTAATTTTCTTGCTTGATTAGTTGATTTAAAGTGTTTAGAGGTGATTTAGTTGGATTTTGGGTGGAAATTTTGCAAGAGTTTCCTTTGAGTTTAGCTAATTTTCATGAATTTTCTTGAATTTCTTGCACCCATATTTATAACCAAATTTTGGTAGATCTTTGACCTCATCTCTACCCTTGATTTGTTGTGTTTTAGATTGATCCTAACCCTTAAATCAATTTTAAATCCTAGCCTTTTAAATAGATTAATTTTAGCCATTAACCCACCTTTTATTCTTAGCCTTCCATCTTGCCTAATTCTAACATCTTCTTTTTACCCAATTCCAAACTCATTAATTAATTCATAATCATACGGCTAAAAGTCAGCTGGAAGGGTAGAAAAGCTCCTAAAATTTTGCTTTATTTTAGTCCTTCATTTTACTAATATTTTTTCTAATTACTCCTCCATTCATCCTTCAATTTTCCAATTAATCACTTTGAGCCCTTCCTTTAAAGATATCCTAACAACTTTTTAACTCTTTAAGTTCATAGTTAATTTCATTTAAAAGTTTAAACTTTTAATGTTATGCAATTAGGTCCCTAATTTCTATGCAATTAGGTCCCTAACTCTAAAATTTTATTCTATAATTTTTCAAAATTCAATTTCTCTTCATAATAAATTAAAAAAAAAATTCTAAAATAATTTACACCATTCACATAATTTTTATATCTTTATTTAGGCCCCTAAATTAATTATTTATTGTGAAAAATACACTATTTTCTATAGAAAATATTCCTTATATGTAGAAAAATTCATCTAAATTTACTAAATATTCTCCAACATCCTAATTGATGTATTCTGTACTCTCGAATAATTTTCTTATATCTTTAAAGCACCTAATTTAATTAATTTGCCTCAAAATTACTATTTATGGATAATAAAACACAAATAAATATTCATAAAATATCGGAAAATTCATCAAACAAGTATAGAATAATCTAACATCCCTCTATTAAATATTCTAAGTAAGCAAAAAAAATTTCATACACATACAACTTGCCTAAAATAATTTTTTCACACAAAAATCATTATTCATGCATCGTAAAATCCATAAAATATTCATTAAGCATAGGAAAATTATTTTAAGCGCTCCGAATATTATTTTAACGGATCATTGGATATTACGGTAAATTAGTTTCAAATCTCTTGGAATGACTTAAGAGCAAAGGAGGATTGGGTGTGGATTTTATTATGAGTATAAGCCAAGCTCTTTAGTTTCAATGGAGGTTGCATTTGAGTGGTAACAACACATGTAAATGGAAGGATTTCTGTCGTAGAAGTACATATTGACTTTCAACAATAGAATTCCATGCTTTTATAGAAAATTATCACCATATTGAAGAAGTATTTGCTCTACTTACACTAGCTCTAACCGAGTGCTCAAAAGTTTTGACGGATAATATTCGATACAATACTAGTGATAGAAAAATAACTGAATTTTATAATGATATATGGGTGGGTAATTGTACATTGAAGTTGGCTTTTCCAATTCTCTTCTCTTTAGTAGATAATAAGTTACGGGGAGCCTTTTTCTAGTACAATCCAACAAGAAAAGTCCAAATGCTCCCAAATCAAAAACTCATTAGACTCAATCAAGGCCGACACTTTGCCAAGAAAGAATGGTCTATAGCACCTAAAAGATATCAATTACTCCTAAAAGCTGTGCCTCCCTAAAGGAAGACTTTAGAATCTTCTTACATTAAGGTCTCTAGTCCGAAAAAGAAAGATGGTATTCTCCTCCACTAATTCCAAAAACAAAGCATTAAATGAAAAATCTCTAATGATGACATCCATCAAATCATTACTCACCACAATTACATTAAGGTTGCTTGTAAAATTAAATACAATGATGAAAAAATATCAATACTTATTGGTTCCTCTACTAACCTTAAGAAATAAAAGACATCCATATCTCTTCGAACATATAAGAAGCTTCCACTACTTCCTATATAAAGAAAAAGAGTCTCAAAGAAAAAAGAACCATGATCAAGGCTTGGAACCGAACCGAGTATCTAAGCTAGTAGAAAAGCTCATGAGAGAAAATAAGACTATTCATACAATATTCATTCTCCTCCAACAACTCCTCCAAACACAAGCAAAATGCTTCACCACAAAAACTACAAATGGGTTTCCAAACTACTTTTTAAGTAAGTCTTTTCCATGCATCCCCCACACTTTAGCTAAGATTACACACATACTAGGACACAATAGCATATATGATTTTTTTTTTTTGGCCAATTCATAACTTTTTCAATCAATAACTTAGGCGTTGGAGGGTCCCCCATCTAACTAAAGAGACTTGTTTTATAGGTACATAACACAAGGATATTTTCATCCACACTTTACGAACTCTCACCAATCGCCATCATTATTGTGAATCACATGTCTTAAATTTGTTAGTTGACTCAAATGAAGACTTATCAAGAAGAACTATTATTTTTTTATAGAAATCTTCTAATCATGACCTTAGGAGTCACTCCTTGCTACCAAGAGATAAAAAAATTCCTCCCTTTAGTCACTTGCTACGTCGAGGGCCTCTATAAACATTCTTTTCAATGGGCTCGTTACACGGGCCATAAAAGTATACACCCGAGCCCTTTTTTAATTGTTACCTACTTTACAAGTCAAATAGTGAGAATATCTAAAGAGCTTGAGAGTTGAGGTAACCCTAAGATTTCAACAAAAATTGTAAAAAAAATAGCTAAAATAGTCTACCCATTTAGGTGAATCTAACCCATATTGAGGTAAAAATGATCAAACATATTTACCACAAAGTCGATAAAAAATAATAAGAATAAACTCGTACTTCATCATGCATGTAGGGACAACAATATCCAAATTTTCATCAACCATGCTAGAATGAGGTTTTTTCATTCTGTCATTAGGGCTTGCTAGAATTGGCGAGAAAATTCTCTCCTAATAAATGACCACAAACACCTACCCTTTCGCTAGATACACAACTTATACCTCCCATAATAAAAGAAGACAAACATGTAGACTCACCTCGATGAGGAAAAGACTCAAATATAGTAGAGCTAGCACCTGTTTTTAAACCCCTACTAAGCATAACCCTAGATGTACCTCTAACTCTCTCCATGTCGCTCATTTTTGCATTAAAAAGATTTTAACTCTCTTCATGTCGCTCATTTTTGTATATGTGTGTGTGTGTGTGTGTGGGAGAGAGAGAGGGGAGGGGAGAGAGATTTAATAACACAATCCAAACAAGCTTCGATTAAAAAAAAACACACGCATTGTTGTATTTTGAGGCATTGTTCACTAGTTTCATCCATTCACGGAATAGCAAAATCCAAACAAGCTTAGATAAAAAATAAAAAAAGAGAAAAAGACTGCATTGTTTTATTTTGATGTATTGTTCACTAGTTTCTTCCCTTCATTGAATGACAAATACCATGCCTTCTTCGACTTTTTACTTCCCACTTCCAAAAAAATAAAAAATTGACAAATCCGTTTGGCAAAAACAAAATCAAAGAAACAAGTTTCTATATCCTCGACCATAATCGGTTTTGTAACAAAACATAATCGATTTCCCTCAATTTTCTCATAGATCAAGCAAAGCATTAATATGGTTCACCTTGTTGATTTTTTTTTTTTTTTTTTTGTCCGTTTCAAAACTATTGTTCAACATTCTTGACTACTTCATTCACGTTAATTGGTGGCTAAAGATGACAATGGATCGGGTACCCGATCCATTAAGCCAATCTTTTACTCTACCCATTAAAAATCATTTATCAATTTCTTTGCCCAGTCGATACCCATTATATCAAACCACCGCCCATACCCTTTTCATACCCATTTATCGGCTAACTTTTTTCTTTAAATTGAAGATTTTTTTCTTAATTTTTTAACTTTTTTTTTGTTACAAACTCTTTTTATCTAAACTTTTTTATATATTAAGATTTTTATTAAATCACAAAATAAAAATTATTATTATTATTATTATCATAAATAAATATGTACTAAGTTGAATAATTATTATATTTTTTTATTTCCTACAAACCAGTTTAAAATGAAAGATAAGGAAGACAATTATATATATGCTAGCACCTAAATTTTTCCCAAAAAATATATAAAAAAGAAAAAAGAAAAAAAAACAATGGAGGTATGTAATTAAAAAATGGAGGAGAACATGACCAAAATAAAGCGAATTAGCGAGATGAGGGACCAAACGAAACTTTAGGCAAAAACCCTAAAAATTAGTATAAAGGCCATTTTTTTTTCTCGAAATGGAGAGCTACTGTTCATCATCTCCATTTTCAAAACCGATCGTCCCTCTACTCTCTCAAAAGCAATAGCGGCCTAAAATAGCTACCGCCCAAGCCTCCTCCACGTCCGGCCACAACAACCTAGCTCTCCCCTTACTTATGTGAGCGGCTCGTGCTCTCCATCCCCCCACGGCCTCTAGCTCTCTTCTGCAGCCTCGCCCGACTCCTCTACATGCCGGCCTTTCTTGCCCACTCAAGCCCCCTCACGCCAGCCCCTCTCCCCCATTACCCACGACCGGTCTCACCAACACGGCCCCACACTTGCTGTCCCCTCACACCTCCTCGCCTACCAAGCCTCCACGCCACAAGCCCTTACCCGGCGGCCATCCCCTATGCCCACACACGACGGCCCCACTCTAGCCAATAGCTCCAGCCTCGATTCTAGCTCGTAGCCATAAAAAGTCTCGCACTCCAAACACGAAACCCACCACAAAACCAGCCTTTTTTGAAGCCCCAAAACTAGCTCATAAAGCAGTCTACAACCGAGCATAAAAGCCCCTTAAAATTAGCCCAAAAAAACCAACCCCAAAACGAGACTTGAAAAGCCCACCAAAAAAACCCTCCAAAATCAATCATGCAACTATTACTAACGACCTCCAAAAACCATTTCGGAGAAACCCCTTCAAACGACCCATTTAAACCATTAAAGTAGCCATAAAAATACCCCAAACTAGTTTTAAAAAAACCCACCAAAAAAGCCACAAAACCTCTCTCAAAACAAACCACTTGACACCTTTTAAAGCTGCTGAAAAAAGGAAGAAATAAAAAGCAACAAAAAAAATTTGAAGAAAAGACTAAAAAATTTTCTTATGTTAGATTGTGTTGGCGAAACAACATAATGTTGTAAACTGCATTTGCTTGATTTTTGACGGGACAATAAGCAACAAAAGTCACCTTGAGCTTTTTAGGAACTTTGCAACTTTACGGCGAGTAACTCTACAAATTTTGAAGCCAAGTAAAGGAAGATCTCTTGGCCACCCTAGCGATATTTGCACCCATTGCCCACCGGCAGTTACTCTCCTTTCCTGGCTAATTGAATAATCGATTATCATCGGGAACAAAGAGGGTAAGACTAACTCCAAATCGAATATCACCATTTTAGGACTCTTAGATAAAAAATCCCGAAACCATGGTACTTCGAAAATATGTTAAAAGGTTAAAAATGACAAGTGTGTATGGAATGTGATTAAAATTGCAATATTTGACTTCACATTTATGGATTAAATGCGATTAAAAAAATAAAATATTACTTGCAATAATCGTTAAAGGATAAAATGCCATGTTTTCCTGTTATTATGCCCACTCGCGTAAATGCGAAGTTTGTACTACTCTTGTAGTTTAGTTGGCTATCCATGATTGATTACAATGTAAAATAAAGTCGTTAGTGGCTTTAAAGCTTATATGATGAAGTTGTGAGTGGTTTCGAAATTATTTTGCCAATTTTGCTAATTTGTTGATTTTTTCTAAGTTTGCCTATTTTGCCTAATTTTCTATTTGCCAATTTTGCCTAATTGCCTATTTGTCCACTTTAAAATTTTTCAATTTCGCTAATTTACCAATTTGTCGATTTTGCATATTTTCTATTTTTGCCTATTTTTCTAATTTGTTAATTTTTACCTATTTGTCAACTTTTGCCTAATTGTCTATTTTTCAATTTTGCCTATTTATCAATTTTTGCCTAATTGCCCATTTTTCGATTTCATCAATTTGCTAATTTTATTGATTTTGCCTATTTGTCAATTTGTCAATTTTGCCTATTCGCTTGTTTGCCTATTTGCCAATTTTGCCAATTTGTCGATTTTGTCAATTTATCATTTTTGTCTATTTTCCCTAATTGCCTATTTGCCAAATTTGCCTAATTGTCTACTTGTCGATTTCGTCGATTTGTCAATTTACCAATTTTATCGATTTTGCCTATTTGTTATTTTTGTCTAATTGTCTATTTGTTGATTTTTTATCGATTTTTGCCAACTTAGCAATTTTTGCCTAATTGTTAATTCTTGTCAATTTTTGTTGACTTGTTAATTTTTGTTAATTTTTGCCAATTTGTCGATTTTTCCCAACTTGCCCATTTTTGCCACTTTTGCCTATTTTGACTCATTGCATATTTATCAATTTTGTCAATTTGTCTATTTTTCCTGTTTTCTTATTTATCAACTTCGTCAATTTGCCTATTTGCTTGTTTGCGTATTTGCTCATTTTGCCTATTAGCCTATTTGTCGATTTTGCCTATTTTGCCTAATAGTTTATTCCCATATCTCGACTTTGTTTGCCTATTTTGCTAACTTATCTATCTGGTTTGGTTACCTCTTTGCCCATCTTCAAGTTTTGTTTTCAAGCTTACCATTTGAGCCACATTAGCATAATATCCTCGCATTCATCGTTTTTAAACTATTCATTACATAGTGAGAACAAGGTCTACGATAGAACAAGTCTCAAATCGGTCGACCAACAAGCAAATGCTTGAGAAATAGGTATAAACGTTCATCATCGAAAATCGAAATCAAATCAAATTTTGTATGCAATGTAGCTTACCTTAGGTAGGATGAGGTAGGGAGATTTTTAATCTTCCCTACACGTAATAAACCCCTTATCTAGAAATTTGAACGGACCGAGTCATAAGGTTTTCTAGTAACCATAAGACTAGATGGCGACTCCAATCATTTTTACCCATTTTGTCTAAATTCGTCACCCTCGCCCTTCGACAATATATATGGGTAATATTATTTCGTTTACTTCTAAGTATTGCCGACTCACCAAACTAACCATCAAATATTTAAGCCGAGGCATGTAAACATTATGCATGTTATTGAACATATTCCGTGGCGTTTTATGAACCTCTCTTTTCTATGAAAGCAACATTTCTTAAATTACCTTGTTGTTTAAGTGGTTGCATTTACGAATGAAGTCCCGATCATGAACTAGACTCTTTGTTAATTTTTATTGTTCCTCCATATACAAACAGGGAGCTTTTCTCTAGTAGATTGATTCTTTAAAATATACAAAAACAAAAACTAAGAAAATTTATTCCTCTATGTAAATTTTGCTTCACTCTATTTATATGGATTTTTTATTATTATTTGTAGTTTTTTTTTTCAAATTCTTGAAAAAAAAAACTAAGAAAATTTGTTTGTTTTAAATTTTTGTCCCACAAAAATCAAAACCGACAACTAGCGACTATTAAAAATGGTTTTTGAGAAATTTTGATTAATAGGATAAAAAGAGAATATCTATATTCATGAATAAATTATTCATTAACATAAATTTGTATTATTTTACTCATATGTAGCTTATTAACCATTAGAGTATCTTAAAAAGATAATTAATGAATGGATTGGATATAATGTCTATTTTATACTCGACCTATCTGCCATCCTTATTGATGGCCTTATTTTAAAATTTTTCTCAGTCCCTCCACACACACACACACACACACACACACACACACACACACACACACACACACACACACACACACACGGGCGTGGAGAAGAAAGTGTGTCAGATTTTTTATTTGTATAATCCTAGAGTGTGACTGTCACGCACGACTTGAATGGACAGCTTTTCATCCAAGTTCAAGGGATAATTTACAATTTAGCCTTTAATAATTTCCTTATCCACGCTCCATTAGCCACACTCAAGTCGCAGCTGTTCAATTCTATTCTGTTTTCTGTGACAAACTATAAATAAATGAAAGAATGGTGTGCCTTGGTATCCATGTTGCAGCCAATGAACACGAGATTTCTGAAACAAAAACACTTCTTGGCATAGGATTTCACTAGACTCAACCTGAAGTTCTCGCTCCAAGTTGTAAAGGAAATCGGAGTGATAAAGAGGAAGGGAATCTTGAATACCAGCCACCCTTGTAAGGACCATCCCTTTCTTCTAAAATATATTACCAAATATAATTTTGTTAAAAGTCTGAGCTGCTGAAGTCATGTTCTCTGAAGCCATGCCTCGATCATTGTGTGGACTAGCCCAAGATTATTGAACAATATGAGCAAAATCAGCATTGAAGTGTCCAAGCAACTCGAAATCTGAATGGCTCAGAAGGAGTAGGAGGAACATAACCATTAGCCGAAAGAGAGAATAATTTTGATCCGAGTGAGCCCGGAAAGGTGATGGACTAAAACTTCACGAAACGTCAAACACTAATCAGAATTATAAAGAGCTCCATCCAAGCACACAACAATAAAGATGGCCCATTATTCTTCATACAAAAAACGAAAGGCTTGCTTTGGACCCTAACTCCGACAATTCAAATCGACTAATATGGTTGAGAACTAATTTATTCATTTTTCGAAATTAAAGAAATTAATTTATAATTTACTTTTTCTTTATTCCCAGCCAAAAATTCGAAGAATGACTGGTCTAATTTTATTACAAATTGGAATTCAGGTCGTAAAAAAGGGATGTTGTTTTTTTTATATAGTTAATTATAGTGTTAGCTGTGACGAGAAAGAATGATAATCTAGTGTTACCCGAGGGATGAATTGTAATTGGATTTGCCTGATTCTACAAAATTGAATATTGTTGGTTAACCCTTGACAACCATATGAGAATGTTATTTATTTATTTATTTTGAGAAATAAGTATATGAAAATGCATCCGAATCACAGAACTTGCTTTTGTCATCTCTTTTTCGTGCTTGTGAATGCAAGCAAACAAAAGAACTATTTGCTTGCCTTACGTCGGCAAGCTAAACTACATTATAATGGAACAGTACAATAATCGTTTTTTTGGTTAACTGCAAATCCGTCCTTTCCTTTTACCTCTTTTATGAACAACAAAACATATCAGTCTTTTTCATTTTTTTTAATCTTATTTTCGTCTATAATATGTTCATCCCAGTTATTTTTTTGATCATCATCACAAATTAAATTTATTAAGCTTAGTTCTATAAATAAAAGAGTAAATTATTAATTAGTGACTTTTGCTTGTAGCTGGTGGATTGGAATTTTAACAATAATAAAAAAAGGAATGTTTTAGAAAAAAAGCAATTAGATTATAACAAATAATTAACAGTTGGATTAAGTTATAAATTTTTACAAACAAAGGGATCCAATATGGAGTGTTAAAATTAAATGGATTAATTAATTATTTTTCTAAAAACACCGACCGAATAATATATAATTTACCACTAAATAAAATATAAAATTAAATTCAAATATATGACTTAACACAAGTACAAAATATAAAGTTTATTTTTTTATTGGATAAACTAATTAATAACATTTCCTTTGCTTTTCTCCATTTTCATATTTTCACACACACACACACACACACACACACACACATATATATATATATATATTCAATTACTTTGTATGTCAATTGAAATTAACACTACCGAGATAAATGTCATTTAGCGACGGGCATACCCGTCGCTAAA